TCTCTGGAATTATCACTTTTTTTAAAAAGATCTCTGAATGAAATCCAATGAATGTAGGATGCAGAGACAACTGTATATATTTTATATTCTTCTCTGTGTGTTATACTGTGGAGGATATATTATGCATCACTCCCCAACCCCCTACCCCCATCTGGTGACAGCTGATAAGAAATGGTGTAGCCATATTGATTTAATTATTTACATATGTATATTGCAGTAGCTCTGTAGTGCTGTTCTCACTCAGCATGTATATAGGTTTAACACAATATAATATGTCACCATAAATTTGGGCCTCTTTTTGAATTAGTATATCCAGCTTCAATTAACTAATCATGATAATAACAAACTGGCTAATTTGATACTGCCTAACTTTTCCCCTTATTGGCCAACTTTGCAGGTCAGCCAATATGGACAATGTACCAAATCGAATGCACCTTCCATAAACCTTCAGGCACTTTCTCTACGATGAGTATATATAACTTTCTGGTTTTTTTTATCAGCACAAAATATCTGATATGGATCTTTAAGTCAAATAACATCTTTATATACACTTGTGGAAAAAAGAAACTGTGCATGTTCATATACTGCTCCAATTTTTTAATCGAAGCTTGAAACTTTACACAGGTAAGTCGTGTATGCCTCTCTTATCATTTACACTGGTCTGTTCATCAGTTGTACAGGTAGTTTGTCTGTCTGGCCAACATCTTTGTTTTCACATTCTTTTTCAGCCAGCAGTAAATCACAAACATATTTGTCACATAAACCTGTGTAAAAGCACGGTGTAAATACCTGTAACACTGAGATATGCCATGACAATAATATTGAATGAAACTGTAGGCACAATCGAATCTGGTGTACATCAAAATTACGTTGCTGGACAATTTGGTGTGCACTGAAATACTGTAGACCCCTTTTGGAGATGGTATCAACAGTTCGGGACCACCAGAGACCAGCCTCGGTCAGAATATCCACACATAACGTTGAAATGCCATATATCTGGGTCGTTGATCTCCTTAAATGACTCAGAACTGCTTCTTTGATGGCTAGAAGTAAGTATTCTTGGCCTTAGAAGAACTGGTTCCTGAATGATATGTAATTGATTGCTTGACCGAGGCATACATTCTGTTCCAGCGAGGTCATTGTGTAGCACATTTAGCCTGGTATAGACAACACATAGACTTCACGTGGCAGGACTTGGCATGTATTCTTTTCAGAGATGAGTCCAGTTTCATCAGCAGTGATGGCTGCTCTAGAGTGTACCATTGTGTTGATGAATATTTCCATGACAGTTGTGTGATTAAACAACGTCCATTCAGCAGAGGTAGTGTCATGACATTGAGTGGCATCTCATTTCGTAGCAGAACAGCTCTTGTGGTTGAGGACGGAACACATATAAGCATCAAATATTGTGACAAAATCATCCAACCTCATGTCCTTTCATTTCTGCAACAATGTAACGCCATGTTGCAACATGATAATGCTCATCTGCATGTTGCACAAGCCGTCATCGACTTCTTGATCAATGTGAATGTGCTGCCCTGACCTGCATTGTTCATAGATATGTCGCCTGTAGAACACATACGGGATGAGGTACAGCGTCACCTCCAAAATCAGCTGTTGACTTTACCTGACCCATTCTGTGCGCTTGTACCCAGGCAATTTCTTTCAGCACATTTGTTGCATCCATAAGGCGTCATTGTCAAGTATGAAGTGGATATACATGGTATTGATGAGCTGAACTTTGTTTAGAGAACGTCTGTGAAAACTGTTCTCTATCCAAGACGCTGCTGATGCAATAACCATATCAATTGAACTGGTGTTAAATGAAGATCAGATAAAATCCTGTGGAAATTTTGTTGACAATTTCTCATATACCTCCTAAGTTATAGCACATCATATCCATGCACAATTTCTCATATACCTCCTAAGTTATAGCACATCATATCCATGCACAATTTCTCATATACCTCCTAAGTTATAGCACATCATATCCATGCACAATTTCTTTTTAACCACTAGTTTATATATATGCCATATTGCATGTCTGCTTCAATGTAAATGCAAAAAGCATGGTTTCCATTGCCTTACAAAAAATGAAAATAATATTGTTCGTGTAAAAAATTTAATTTTCCTTAAGGAATATATTGATGATAATTTTATAAATTCAACATTTTTTTATCATTTCTGCTTGGCAGATGCCCTAGATAGCTATGTAGATCCTTTCACTTAGCTACATTAAAAATCCATATATATGGGCAGTCCACGGTATGTGATCTTTTTTCTGTTGAAATTAAAAACAGAACATGCTAAAATACACCCAGTAATACCTTGGTACCTGAAGTTCTGTAATTCTGTATCCTGATTTGTGAGCATGCTTATTATACTATAGATGTACATGTACCATGTACATGACACACACAGTATATCATCTATCTACAAGATAACAAGCTGTATATAAAACACAGGTGTCAACAATCCATAGTTCTTTTTTTCCCTATTAAATGCCATTTAAGGGTCAACGTTTGGAAACCTGAGCATGTAATTTGTGGATGTACAAAACATGGTGATGAAGGGTCAAGGTCTGGACACTTCAGCATGTAATTTATGAATGTACAAGCTGTGGTGGTCAAGACCTTGAGCTCTCCTAATCAGGAATTAAGCCTGTCTGGATAAACCTTAACAGACCTAAGATTACATACTCACAATCTAAAACTTTACCACATGTGGTATTGGTTATAATACCAAAGTAAATATCTTGATATGAATCAACAGAACAGTAATACAGATGTGATATATTTACCCAATTTTGATTTTAAATGGAAAATTCAAAATTTGAGGGTTTAAGATAATGTATTAATGATAAATTTGTAGCCATTCACTTAAATAATTGTTATACATCAATATAATTTTATATCATTGTCTACAAAGGTTTAGCTAATTCATTTTGTCTCCCCACAACTTTTTATTTATAACCAAAAAAAAAAAAAACATATCTGTGCTGTGTTATTTACAAAATTACTGCAGTATCTTGAATTTTTGTTGGTAAGTAAAAAGATACATAATGTGTAAAACATTCTTCTTTTAACAGGCCGTTATGGAAGACTTTGGACATCTGGTAGTGGTGTGTGACATCAGTGACCCAATTTTAAAAGTAAACAGGACCGCTATTTCAAAATTTAAGTCAACTTCATGATCGATTCATGCCTCATTTATTTGTTCATAACAAATACATTCAGATCTTGACTATACAGATTTGTCCTATCAAGCATAAAAAATCTTTCTATCTTACGATCCTGGCGTACTGACAAAGACTTTTAAATAGATTTCAAACAAGCAATTCACAGTTGTATTGGTATTCTATAAAGAAACTACACTAAATTTTTTTCTTTAATTTTGAATTTTAAAATGCAAATTTCTGGTCTCCTTTATTGAAGACTGCCATCTAATAATGACAAATAATGATTCCTCATGTCTTACAGCATTAAGACTAACTTGGAGAAATGTCTATTTACATAAGTACCATCCCATAATTATCCAGCAATATTAACAAACGATGCCTCATACGATATTTAGAACAATCACGTCTATGACTTTTTAGCAGAATCTGCTACTTGATTAATTCATTGTCATGTAAAGTTCACAGATAATTTCTAGCCAGCAAGTTTTGTAAAGAACGAAGTTCTGCTATGAATTACAAACCTTTCAAGGGCAGGAAAAAAAGTAGGTATATGTAATTCTTTATCGGCTACAAGTGAATTTGTTAAGCACAGCAAGTTTAACATGACACTGACAAGATCTAAAAGTACATATAAAAAGAATGCACCTTGATTGCTATACGTAGATCATGTTCATTTATATATACACATATGTCTGCCTTTGATAATGTACATGTAGACACTACAGTATTTCTTTGAGCTAGCCAGACTTTACAAATAGATCTCATGTACTAGTCTTTTATCAAAATATTTGTGTTATTTGGTCTAGTGTGTAATAATATAGCTTCAATGGCCTACTGAAATATAACTATTTCAGGTCAAATTAAATGCGGTCTACAGATGTGAATGGCACAAAGTGTTTGATCATTCTTACCACATGGAGAAATTGCCATCCACTTACGTTAATATATATAAGTAAGTGTTTGCATGCATGTATGAAGAGAAGCCTTGGACTACTTAAACAACACACCTACATGAAGTCACATTTTTGTTTTTCAAGATATGCATGACCGGATCACTGGGACATGATTTCCTTTATCATGTTATGATAAAGTAGTTAACAGAGTATTTTATTTTTTCCTCGCGAAGTAACATAAAATTAATGTTTAGTACCTTTATATAGCTACACATGAACAGATATCTATCACTTAACTTATTATTCAAGACCAGAATGTGCCCTTACGACTGGATGGAAAATAAAATACACATATATCAAATAAGGTATGCAAAACACGTTTCTTACTCCATGATGTTACGACAAATTAATGGCATTTACGTTTTTAAAAGAAACAAAATTATTAAGATGTGCTAAAATTTGTTAATAGGAATTCATGAACTGAATTTTGATGTTTAAAACGACGCAATGCAGTGCATGTTTTCCTATCCCGTGTAATATCCGGTGTGTCGTACCTCGTACTTCTAAATACACTTGTTTACAAATACCAAGCACTTGCTCAGTTTTGAAATATAAACAAGATCCCCGTTGGGGCCCCTGGCATAATGTGTAAGAAATACGACTCGTGATCGTGGCGCTTCGTTTTTAGCCACAAATATGCAACCAAAACAAACAATTTGTAGCAACGGTTTTGTTTCCATAATATACTTCTGCGCCATATAAATCAGTTTGATGGACAAGTATGATAAAAACACGGCTAAATATGTAAAACAATATAAAACATGGGTTGTATTTGCTACTTGTTTCAGAAAGTCGCAAGACAAACACGCCTTCGCTACGGGGAAAAAACGGAATTAACAGATCTGTTGTAATCGTAAATTAATACTTACATTTAGATATGAACGTTTAGCACATTTTAAAAAATCTGTCCACCATGTTAAAAATCTTTATGAGTGTAAACCTCCATAAACATCCATATTCCATGCTTTACTTATGAGCGACACGTTTCTAGAGTGTATGATATCCCGTTTGACCTCAATAATACCCAGAGCGAGAGCATGCGCACTCATCCAATAAACGTTTCCATTGACCTAATTTGCGATGTTATGTATTTGAGGACAGTGGGTCAACATCAGAGAGTCAGAAAGTCAAGGGAAATTTCTGGAACTTGGGGAAACTTTTCTTGTCGTACGTCGACAATTCCAGTAACAGCTGATCCACCTGACTTGTAATAAATGTAACGCATGACTACAACAATTGTGAAAGTTGTGAATGGGGTCATACATTGACGATATTACAGAAGTTTCTGTAATCAATCATTACGCAGGTTGATTTGCTAGGTCTTGTTGATTCTGATTGTGATACTGTATATTCTAGAAATGGAATTAAAAGTTTATCAGTTTGAAAGAACTCCAAAGAGTGTTTAAGCAAATTTTCAATAGCTTCTAAAAAAACACGTCTTTTAGCTATAGGCCAAATCACGTGTTGTTTTTTTCCAAATCCACAATACCCTATTCTAAACTGCAAAGCCCATCCGTTCTCTCGTTACAAGCTTTCTACTCAAGCGATTGTGAAATATACTGTATCGGACTATACTCAGGGACATATGATAATAATTAATATAGAATTACAGAGACGTATATACATCCATGATAATCTTTATATACATATCGTACGTCTGTAGTGCAAATCTTGGATAAAAAAAAAGATAAAATTTCTGGTTGATATTGATCATCGTCTAGTTTGCTTGTAAGACCCGTCCCCGCCCCCCCCCTTCAATTTCCCTACTGAGAACTTTCCATTTCTGGATGGCGAAACCCCATATCTCCATCCCGTTGTGCTTACGCACAGGCAAATAATTCAATCAGTCAGTGATTCGATATTCAAGAGCCTGTTTCCAATTTCACGATTTTCGTACAAAATGTCTTCTACTGACAAATTCATAAAACAGGGGAAGCTTTACAGTCGTCTTAATGATTTCGTGGAGAAATATTCTATTGTCTTTGTGCTATATAAAGCTGGACGTATTTGTATACTTTGTTTCAATTTGAGAATGTGACATTACTTACGTGGATGAACAAAGATTTGCACGGCGGGTGTCATTGATGAAGCAAAAGAAGCTTATTACTCCGGAACATTCAGAAGTCTCCTTGTAAATATATATAATGCTCATACCCCCCCCCCCCCCCTTGTTTTTTGGTATTTTCTCAAAAAGAGTGTTTTAGTAAATTTTCAATATTCTTATTATTATTATTATTCCGAATTTGTGGGTTCTAACCCTTTAAACGGTAAGGGATAGGCACGCAACCTTAATTTTTTTCGATTTTTTCCACAGTTCAATGCAGAATGTCAATCCGATCATTTAAGTGTCTACATTTCTTCTGTGAAGTCTTTCTTTGTCGTTTTACGTTTTTAAAATTCCCACAAAAATTGAACTAAAATAATTGAAAGATTCTACAATGAAATTTTGTTTAATTGTTATGGAATAGGTTTGGTAACGTGCCTTCTAAATTCTGACGTGATTTTCAACTTTGTTGAAAAACAAAATGGCCGCCATGATGCCATATTCGATTTTTGTCCTAATGTCAATATCTCAATAATGACATGACATTTTCAAATAATTTTTGGATATGTTCTGTAGAATTATAATCAAATGTCACTTTTTACGGATATTTTTGTGTAAAATGTCAACTTCCAGTTTTCGGTAGGGTCAAAGTTCAAAAGTGCAATTTAGGGTATCAAACTACCAGAAACTTCTTCTCAAGTTTGGAAAAGTCTAAACGTTCGATATTTCACACACATAATGCTAAGGTATTTGCCTATTAGTTTGGTAATATGCATTACCTTGACCTACTTTCAAGGTCACAGGGGTCAATTATATTAATATAATTAAATGACGTTTTCTTACTCTTTAAGAGTAAAATAGTTGCATGATTTGATTAACAACCTCCTGTAGAAACTCACTTTTGATTGGTTTAAGTAAAAGTTCTCACAAAAGGCCAACGTTTGGTTTCCAATAGGGGTCAAAGTTCAAATGAAATGACCTAGAGACTTGAAATCTGATATATATGAAAGTAATATGATTGTCTATTATTGTCGTTAATATATATGACCTTGACCAACCTTCAAGGTCACGGGGGTTAATCATATCAATATCATTAAATGACGTTTTCTTACTTTTTAACAGTTACGTGATTTGGTTAACAACCTTCTGTAGAGACTTCGTTTAGGCAAAACTTACACAAAAGACCGACTTCCGGTTTTCAAAACTTCAATGTAGAGTATCAACATATACGAAACTTCTTTTCAAGTTTGGAAAAGCCTAGAGGTTGGATACATCACAAATATAATGCTAAGATAATTGTCTATTAAATTTGTAAATATGAATTACCTTGACCCACTTTCAAGGTCAAAGGCTTCAATCATGTAAGAATTTCCTAAGAATGCAATTTAATATTTTTTAGAGGTAAACAATTGTGAATTTTCCTTAAAATCCTCCCGTGGTCCCGTGGACACTTACTATTGATAGCAATAAGTAATGTTTTCCAAAAATACAACTTCTATTTTTTCAGTACAGTTCAAAATTAACGTCATACAGCATTATTTTGGAAAACAGTACGCTTAGTGGTTTCATCTAATTTTTTTATGCTACATTTACACTTTGATTTCATACAGAGTGTCAATGTGTCACAGGTATTGCCTTTAATTACAGGCCATAATAGGTGAAAAGCCCGTTAAAATTGTCTATGGCAATTTCTAGTATCAAATTTGAGTTTGGTTTGAAATTACTTCTTGTTTTCACTCATGTTATTATTGATTCCAGACATAGCTCCGCCTCAAATCCAATGATCTCTCGATATGAGGCACCGACACAGCCAGCGTAGTAACAGTTATCAGGCATGGTGTAGCGTTCCTAGTACTTTTGAAACACTGTCCCATTTCCCCAAACTCAAATGTAAATCCGGACCGGTTGTATGTTTACATGTTGGAATTTTCTTGTTTTTCTATACTAATTGAATTGCTTATTTAACCTTACCTGCTTCTAAACTTGGTAAAATTATCCAAGTCAGGGGTAAAATGAAACAAAAACTCTCGTTTCATATATAAATCTATTTAATCATGGAATTAACTCGACCGCTTCCGATTCCCCCGATGTCGTCATTTCGATTCATACCACTAGCATTACTAGCCATGACATGTTCCAGGGGATGCAGAGAGCGAAAGTGATCGTAACCCCTGGAGTGTCGAGAACGAGAAGGGTGATGATTTTCTAGCTGTTTGTATCGAAATGTGCTCTTCACTGGTTAAGCTCGAATTCCGTGTTTTCTTCAGAACATAATCTTCATGTTGGTCATGTCAATAGAATAAAAAAATCTTCTCCCACAATTTGTGGAAGATTGAAGTGTGACGTTTCGATGACATCATGGTAACTTTCATCAGACAAATAATCGGTATCAAGCACTAACGTGGGTAGTGTACGAGATGTTAAAGAATTGACCAACTTTTCCGATTGTATAACCAATGTACACTAGGTTTAAACTAGTGTAACGAGATAGCAAACAGATAATGAAAATAAAAAAACACAAGATAATAACAATGTACTGCAGTCAAGCAGACCACGCTTTAACACCTGGCTACAATTTCCGAGAGTCTATGGGCCCCCTTGTCCCTATTTAGTACTGGCCCACTACGGTGGGACTAAGAATACGTTCGCTCGGATCTGATGAATTTAATGTTTCCTTGGGATTCCGCGTGAATCCGATGTTCATTAAGTTGGACCCCGAAATTTCCTGCCAGTTTCCCCGATACACGATGTGTCACTGGTCTTACGTCCGATTTTATCAACGCATTCCGCTACGTTTTCTTTGGTTGTTTCTGAGAGCAATGCCATGATCACAGTAAATCCTATAAACGGTTTTTAACAGGCATCTAATGTAAGGGAGGACTACTTGCCCTTTCATTTTGTATTTATATGGTGTTTCGTCTCTTTGTCTTTTATTTGGATTCATCAAATTAATTGTCAATGTATTGTCAGGGGATGTGTTCATGAACAGAGACACATCGTGTATTACTACAGCGTTCAGTTAATTTCTGCTTAGACTTTTCTTCAGTGAGTAAGTGACAATGTTACTGAATAACTAAGCTGCCTTTACTTCATGATAACATTGCTGATTAGCTGTTTTATGATCTCCTTCATTGCAATGTTTTCAATTTAAATGGCCGAATGGGCAATGACAGAGAAGTCGGTAAATTGACTTACAAAAACATTAGAATGACTGACTACTGTATAGGTAATTTTGAATTATTTGATATAGTTGACGAGTTTTCAATTAATGATTATTCCTCTTTATTGTCAGATGTAAACTGTTCAATCCATCTGTGTTTGTCCAAACAATGTAATACTAGTAGCAATACTAAGTTTTTTGAAAATAGTAATTATGTGTCGAAACCCAAAAACTGGAATGATGCTAGTAAAGTAGTATTTATCAATTAGGTAGTTGATAGATTGCCAAATTTAGAACACAGTGTTGACACTTTGTGTGTAAATGGAACTGCTCACTTAAGTATTATCAATGAAACTGTTAATAAATTGTGTGAAATTTTCGTCGATGCTGCCAAACAAAACAAGCAAAATTTTCATAAGCCATGGTTCACTAAAGAATGTAAATCTGCTAGACAGAATTATAGAAAAAACAGAAAAGCCAAAAGATTATATAAAAGGTTTTCACAAAAGATTTATACGATAAGATATCGTAAAACACTGAGATCCGCTGTGAATACACATAGAAAACAAACGAGAAAATCCGCTTTGAATACACATAAAAACAAGAAAAAATATCGGAAAATATTAAATCAGAGTAGTTCTAATAGTAAGGTATGTAAGGGAAACATCGACGATCTCTTCAATTTTTTTTAACAAATATTTTAATATTGTGTTG